TGGGAAGCCTCCAACGGCGATGCATCCTGAGACAGGCCCGGGGCTTCCGGGCATCTCTGAAGATTCTGCGGACGCTTGTCGCGAGCCTCGGGGCAGTCCACTGGCTCGCGGTGCTCGGAGTGCACAGGAGAATGCTTCTTGTCCTGTCACAGACAGAGAGAGAGAGAGAGAGACCGAAGAAGAGCTGTCAGCACTTGCGGCCCTGGTGGCCTCTGGTCCTGGACATGAGAGAGATTGGAGCTCCTTGCGCTTCGAATGGAGAAGCCGACGCAGATCAGACTCGCAGTTCCAACCAGCCTTGGCCTTCAAGTCCACGAGCTCCGGCTCTGCCTGAGCCAAGTCCCCACAGGTCACATGCGCGCTCACGGACATCTGCCGAGTCCGCTGCAGCAGCTCCGTCTGGAGCCTCCTCGAGGGCCAGGGGCTCTTCAGCTTCACGCACCTCCGGCTGAAACTTGGCCTCTGAAACTCTGAAAGCAGCCAGCAGACCCGCGCGGCTGCGCACGGCTGGGCGCGCCTCAAGCTTCCCCGGTTCCTTCGACTCGTCCCCGGCAGCATCGCATGCGAAGGCCTCCGGACGGAGCAAGCAGGTACTGCATGCCCCTCTGTTCCTTCGCTTCATGCTTCGGAGAGCCATGGGAGGGGGCACCTCATGTCTTTCGATCGTTGGCTGCTTGCCGCGCAGCCGGCGACCCAAAGAAACCATCTGCTGAAAACTCAGCCTGCTCCGGCCATTGCAGCTAGCCCACACTGCTGCAAAAGCAAGCTCAGAAACTGCCCGGCACCTCGCGTCTCGAGCCCTTGGCACAGGTTGCACCGGTTGCACCTGAAAAGAACAAAACTTGCGAATGAGTGCACCCTTTGTCTTCGGGCTCGAAGAGAAAAGCCAGTGGTCGTGCCGACAAAACCACGGTTTCCAAAAAGAACAGACATCGCGGAACATGAAACCTGTTTCGCTCCGAGCTTGCAATACAGAGTGAACACCAAGCGTTTTTGTGGAGCGGCCCTGTTGCGGCCGACGGCAATGCCGGCAGAAGGGCTCGTCCACAGAGAGCCCGTCTCTTCACGAAATGTCGCAAGGTTGTCCGCCTGCCGTCTCGTCGCGAGCCTCATCGCCGCCATCGCCAGGGAAGGTCTGTGCTTTTCGGATTCCTTCACGAGATCCTCTTCACTCTCCTCCTTCATGTCCTTCATGCATGTTGCCATTACTCCGCTGGTGCTTTCTTGCCCCCCTCAGAGTCGAAGCTGGTGCACGTTATCATTGTTCCTGTAGCGCTAGATGGAGGCCAGGCTCCAGAAGCCTTCAGTCTTCCTGTCCGCCGGCTGTCGCTCCGGCAGCTGGTGAGATCCGCAAAATGCTTCTGGCCATGTGAAGCTGGCCATAAGACGCCACGGTCCCAGCTCGCAGCACTCTAGTCGCCGTCATCAGTTTCGGATAAGGACACAAAGCATGCACCCAGCTTCCCGCCGCATGGATCTCGGTTCGGAATCCCCAAAATGCGCGGCTTTTGGACGAGAATCTACGAGTCTACGGCACTTCACAGCTGTTCGGCAGCCTCGGAAGCGACTTTCTCCGCAGCTTTTTTCAGGCCTGACAGGTAGACACAATTGGATTCTGTAGTGTTCCATGTTCGACCTTCGGATCTCCCGCGTCTGTTTCAGGCCCAGCGAGCTCTGCGAAATCTACACCGATGACTTACATCTCAATCTTCTATCTGCGTTCTCATTTGGGTATGTACCACTGGGAATATTGCCATCGTGAGGCGGGGAGCCAAGGATGCGCATTTTGCTGCATGATGCATCTGTATTTCGTCACGGAAGAGTCTGCTCTCCCCGCACTGCTCTCCCCGAACTCGCCCTGCCTGAAGAGGCAGAATCGGCAGAATCCCTTCCTCGACGCTTCGCAGACTTCCGGCTGTAGGCCTCCGAAGGCTCCCGAACCCCGGGGCCTGGGGGGTTCTGAGGGTCCTTGGGGTCTTAGGGGCGTCCCTGCAGTATTTTCTAGAGGGGCCGGGTGTTCTGCCCAAAAAATGAAGGTTGAGGCGGATGATATAGGGCCGTTTAGGGCATTTAGGGTCAGCGTGCCTGTGCCTTCTCCGGGAGAAAGCCAGGATCCAGCTTGTGCACAGCTGGTGCGGGCTCCTGTCTGGTCCCCAAGTTTGCCTGCGTCTCTTAGACTGCACAGCTTCGAAGCAGCCGAAGCCTCGACTTCCTCAAGCAACTGCTGCGTAGGGCACAGCTCCTTTGGAAAACACAGCCCTTTGCATGCGCGGCTGACACTCAGTGAGACTCCTCGGCAAGCTTCTGAGTGGGGCAAACGTCCTGGATTCCATCGAAGTGTTTCAACAGATCCGATGAAGAATGCGAATTCTCAAGACTTCTAGAACTCGGTCCTCAGGCACGTTCTCGGCGACAGAGCATCCCTGAGTGCAGGCAGTGCTAAGGTCGTTCGGACAGCACGGGCCGGAGCACATGCTTCTGGAATCCATATTTTCTGATCCTGATCTGTACAGTCGGTTCTGCCATTTGGCCTTGCGAGGGTGTGGGGAACCCAGTCACAAGTGGCAGGAAGCCCGGACAGGAGACGTCTGGGAACCAAGACTCTTTACATGCTGTACATGACGAGCAATAATTGCTCACATTGCTGCGAGGGCTCCTATGAAACCCTCTGAATTTTCAAAACCCGAAACGCATCTCAGTCAAATCAGGGACTGCACCTGCGCCGATTACCGGTTCGGGTGCCTCTGGCCCAACCACAGAAACCCTCGTGCCCTACCCCAGCCAGAATCAGAGACAGCCCGGTTCCGCTCCCCTGGCTCCTCCTCAGCACGCTTTGAACGAAGCGCTCCTCATCGAAGTCTTCCCGCTCTCGGAGTCGCAGGGCCGCTCTGGAGCTCCTCCGCCGTCAATTCGCGAGCTTCGCGGGACTCCGAGAGAAGACCGAACAGAAGGAGCAGTAGCAGAAGGAGTAGCAGCAGCAGCAGCAGCAGCAGCAGCAGCAGTTGCAGGAAAAGCGGCAGTATGTGCAAACCCCAGAGTCAGGCCTGATTCGCTCAACGATGTCCTTCTCACCATGCCTCTGCCACTTGGCCACAGCCTCGCAGAACTACGGGAAGATTTTGCCGCAGGTGTGTACCTACCTGGTCCATGACATCATGTTGGCGCAGAACTTGGGCGGCATGCACTGGCGACACTTACCAAAAATCGCTCGCAGACTCCTGTGTGCACACACGCAGACACTCCAGTGCACACTTGCTTTGGTGCAAGTGTTGGCAATGTCGTTTACGGCCCATGTCGTGTCGTCGCAGCCGGGACGCCTTGTTCAGATTCTGCAAATCTTTGTGCAAACGACTCCTTGCTCTTGAGTCCTCCTCCGAGCTGGGAGCCTGCACGGATGGTCTTAGAACCTCCTGACCGCCTTGGAAGCGCAACCCAAAAAACCACACCTTCGTGCTCACGCTGCTGGTTTCGAGCTCCTCCCAGGTGTCTGGAATCTCGGTGTCCTCAGCTTTGATGCACCCAAAGACGCGCATCCGCCCAGGCACAATATTCTGTGCTGCCAAGTTGCTGGCCGAAGAATCCTTCCCACCGGCCTGAGCTCTCAAAAATCGGTGCATCCTCAAAGGAATCCCCTAAGCAGTCCTGGCCCTTTTTGCCGGCCTCTCGGCTGCCACTGGGGCCGGCGGGGGCGGCGGGGCCGCAGTCGGGCGAGGCAAGACAGGCGGCGTCGCCGTGGACACACTCGGAGGAGTCGGAGCACCAAGAGAAGCCGAGGCGTCCTCTCAGCAGCACGCCAAAGCAAAGGACAATGCACCCTAATGACGACCGAAAGAATTACACCAGCGAAGACCCCAAACAGCAATAAACCAATCAAGATGTTGAGTGAATTTCGAACAAGACAGCAAACTCGAAACGACAGCACTTTGTAAAGGACGGAGACAACAGTTTAGGATTTAAGGTTAAGGTTCAGGGTTAGGGGCTTAGGGCCTGGAGT